GCTATCCTTGAAAATGTCTTTCATGCATTGTCATGACAGGAAGGTAGAAATCAGCCATTGCGTAGTCCGCATCAAAATCAGAGATTCTTTTCTAAATCTGCTTTTGTCTTTCCATTTTGTCTAAAATTAATATCCCATATAAGACATTGTCTAATAGTAGTAGTTGTGATAACAGAAATCCTGTGTTTAAAGTCCTTCCACATTATGTTTTGAAAGACCTTCAGTAATAAATAAATCACTGAAAACAAATGATCGTAGGTCGAACTACAATTGATATTTTCGGTCATTTTCACGTAACAAACAACAAACAATAACAACCAACTCTTCCCGCAGGGCTTCCACAACCCGCACGCCGTCGCCGTGAGCCGCGACGGGTCCGCCATCTACGTCTCGGAGATCGGCCCGAACCGCATCTGGAAATTCCTCCTGGAGAGTCCTGCAGCTTACTGAAAAGGGTCCTTCGTCTGCAACTTTGTTTCTTGTTGCTTTCGAGATGGCTCCCTTTAGGGGGGACCTTGATAGATATATATTTGTAGAGAGAGAAATGATTTTTCTGAGAATATTTCCCAGGTGCATAGCTTGTCTGGAAACGGAATACTCTGCAGATAATGCGATCTTGAGAAAAATATATGAGGTAATTCAAACAGGGCAAGGAAAATAAGGGGAGGATGCTATTTTTAAGTTTAGATAGAAGGGTTCAGAATAGATTATCCAAGAGGAAGTAATGTTGTATATTCTGAAAAATAAACACATCGTTCCTCTCTTGAAGATTTATCTTGTACAAAACAATTATTGTTCGAAAATGTTTCCAGAGAAGGAAAAGGGGAGTGTATTCACGGATTACGAAAATGGCCAAACTTATATTGTTCACATTAAGACTATCTGAGTCGCAACCATTGTGATCTAAATAAGATTTAATGACGTTACATATTATGTCAGAGCTTAGTGAAATTCAGATGGTGATACATTTGCAGTTATATTTCCAACCAACCACTTCTGGATACATCTTACACTACCCACTTGTACAATGTATAATCATTAAGCATTTTTTCAAGCATTCATCATTCTTATCAGTATTATCCAATTCCTGAATGCAACAAGACTGCCACAGCGTTTTATAGTATAACTGATCGTGGCTCTCTTGCGTGTAATAACAGATGGTCGTTTTCTCAAAAGAAAGAAGGCCTTTCCGAGAAACTCTTCTGCGACGATTAGCGCAAATAGTGTTAGTTGAAATATCTTGCATCTCTCGAAAGAATCTAGATAGATGAATACATAGTTTTATCAGGATTTTTCAAACATATCATATCATATAGAAAAATCTTTACAGTACATTGGAAGATTCTGTTTAAATAGATTTAATATAAGTGGCTGAAGATAATGTTTTACGTCCTATAGAAGAAAACGTAAATAGTGTCCTAGGTGGCACAATGAAATTTTGTTGCCAATGGCAAGCTTATATATATATATATATATATATATATATATATATATATATATATATATATATATATATATATATATATATATATATATACATATATATATAAATATATATATATATATATATATATATATATATATATATATATATATATATATGTATATATATATATATATATATATATATATATATATATATATATTATATATAATATATATATATATATATATATGCACACAAATATACACACACACATATATATATGCATATATACATGTATATATGATATACATAGTATAATATATATATATATATATATATATATATATATATATATATATATATATATATATATATATATATATATATATATATGCCTATTTATCTATTTACTTATCAATTACTTATGCACACACATATATGAATGTGTGTATATATATATATATATATATATATATATATATATATATATATATATATATATATTATATATATATATATATATATAATATATATATATATATATATATATATATATATATATATATATATATATATATATATATATATATATATATATACACACATATATATACTTATATACATATATATACATACATATATATATATATATATATATATATATATATATATATATATATATATATATATATATATATTTATATATATATATATTTATATATATATATATATATATAATATATATATATATATATATATATATATATATATAATATATTAAACAATAGGAAGACTCCTTGCATCCTTTTGTCTATTAATTTTTTTAAATATATATTTCATATTGCTATAATATATTTGTTAGTTAATGGAAAAACTGATATATACGTCTTTGTCTCAAAATTCATATTATCAGATTATTCCATATCAAAATAATGTAATCAATAAATTCATTAATAAACTGGTGAATCGTTTCAGTCGGCCTAATCCTGATATGAAGTACAGTGCCTGAAAATTGTATCCTGTGACGACGTGTTTAACGATTTCTTATCTTTTTCAGGCACCTTTTCAATTCTAGCATTACGTTTTGCAAAAAAAAAAAATGTATGTTGTGTGGCGTAACGAGCTTTTATTCCCCTGATTCATTTTCAGAAGATCTATGAGCCCGGGTGAATCAATATTCTTCACATTCATAAGTGCACTGCGAGCATTTGCCATAATTTTGGAAAATAAGTGACATCAATGAATTTAACAGAATTTATTTTCTTTTATATCTAATCTTATTACTGGGTATGTATGTATATGCTTATCATATCAACACCAATTTTCATTTGCTTTCTTGTTCTTCTTCTTCACAGAACTCTTACCTCACCGCTTTGCCATTACATTCATCTCCACAAATAATTTTTTGCCACTTATCCTGCGTCAAGAAAAATGTCAACGTTTCTACAATGCGTTTAGTCTGCATTGCGCTGTCTGAAAACTTTTACCATGAAGCAACTCTATTTAGTGGCCTGTGAACAGTTTATTTCCAGTCATATATTTTTCCTCTTCCATGTTGATTTTATATACTAATCATCTATTCATGATTCCTCATTTTCTAAGATTCACAAATTTTACCCACAGGTACAGTCGTAATGGTTAATGGTTAAAATAAATCAATCTTCCTGACATCAAAGGTCATATAGCACTATGGCAAAGTATTGTGAAGAAAAAAGGTAAAAAATGATGATTTGGATAAAGTGTGTCAGATGTCAAAGGTTGCAGAGCGCTGTAGGATCTGTAGAGCAGGGTGGATAATGCACAAGCTTGGGTCTGTTCACGCAGGTGGGCACATCGGAGGGCAATCATAAAGGTGATGTCACAGGAGAGAAAACAACGAGGAAACTATTCGTTTACCGAGAAGTTTGTATGCCCGTGACGTCATCTCTTTTCATGCCCGCCTGTGTGGACAGGCCTTAAGGTGTAAGGCATGAATGCTCAGAATGGTTACAAATGGCTTATGGTTACAAAGCAAAATAAATGTGCTGGGCATCAAAGTTCATATAAGTAAAGTGGGGGATGTTAGGTGACAATTAAATGTTCTGCACGTCAGCCGTTTAGCAGCTCAGTCATTGAGAGGGGCAAAGAGAGGCGAGGGTAGAGATGGGGAGTAAATGAACTTTGTTAAAGGAAGAAATGTGGGAAGGATGTCCATGGGGTTAGGTAGAGGTTAGCAAAAGGAGAAAAGGGTGTAGGCATGTTATCTTGGATCACAATCAGATAATTTTGAATCTCGAGAGTTCCTGAAGTAGAATTGGTTGGTGAGATCTGAGAAACAAAGTTTTTTTTGGGAGGGGAAGAAGAGGGGACAGACGTCTGAGGGGTGGAGGAAGAGGCTCATGTAGGAGCGGTAAGGTAGATGATGGGTGGCTCATATTAGTTTGACTTATGTGATGAGTCGACGGAGCAGGAGAAGGGGTAGGTACCGGAGAAGTAGAGATTGGAGCATCTCGATTTAGAATAGCTAAAGAATTTGACTGGGAGAAGGAGGGGGTAGAAGCAGGATGAGTAAGAGATACCGGTGATATATAGAAGCATCTAGAAAGGGGCAGATCAAAGAACAGCACTGGAGTAGGGTGTAAAAGAAAAACTTCTCTTGGAGTGAGGCCAAGCTTGAATTTGAGAATTGCCACTGCAGACTCAAACTTGTCGGTTTGGCCAGCCCCAATGAAATACATAGTGAGATCCACCACAATTCGCATATGAGGGCATCAAACTGTGGAGCAGTAATATTTGGCATGTGGCCAAGACGCCAACAATTTTGACATTGACGGGGAGGTTGATATTAAAGGGGAGTTCATGTCAATGGAAAGTAATCTTGGCATTATTAGTGGAGAACATATGGTGGCCTCTAAGGGAAGGGTGTAGCATTGTACTGATATTGCATCATAGTCCGCAGTCTGATCAATCCTTGTTATAGGCAGGGCAGTCTGCTGGAGGGTGGACATAGTTCCAGTACAAGTATTGATGGCTTTCATGGTTGTTGCAGCACGACTGTAAGGCAGCACTGAGTTCAGAGAAAGAAAAAGGAAAAAAAGAGCATAATAGGACTCAGCAGAGGACAGGGTGAAGATGATGGGGGACAGTGAAGTGAAAGTACACCAGTCAGCTCTATCAAATGGAGGTATAAGGTGTTGAGGTTCGAGGGAATGTCTGTATAGGTAACTAGGGTGATGGAGGGGTAATAATAGTAGAGAATGAAGTGAAAATACGCCAGTCGGCTCTCTCGAAGTACCAGCATTAGGGATTACAAAGTGGTACATACGAACTAGAAGAAAGGAAAACTGGAAAGTGTTCTAGAACTGACCACTGGAAATCTAAATGAAGAGAAGGGGAGAATAGAGAAAGGATTGCATGAAAAGATTGCGTGCGTATGTCAAAGTGTGTGGGGCGATCTGAATTAAGAATAATAAGGTCATTTGTGGAGAGAAAGTGCTCTACAAATGATAGAATCGCCCCAAAGAGTGTGGCGACAGTTAAAATCACCAACTATAAGGAAAGGTGGCTGGAGTTCGGAAATTAGATTTCCAAAGGCATCAAAATCAGTGGGGTGGGAAGAGAAGTAGCCTGAAACCACTGTGATCCAGTGGCGAAGAAAGATGCGAATAACTGTGCAAGGGACAATGGTTTGAAAGGAATGCATGACATAAGATGTTTTCTGATGGGTAAGTATAGACGAGATATAAAGGGAGTGTGAGGAAGAGACATGGTAGTTGGGAATTGGTATAGGAGGATGTGTAAGAAAACTCTCTTGGAGGTAGATAATGGATGAGTTATAAAAAGAAAGATGATGAATCCGCGAATAATCCAATGTAGGAGAGCTATACTTTAGTTGATCTATGAGTGATAACAGTTATAGTGCGTGTTGGAGAATTTGAAGGGGAAGGAGCTAGGGGTAAGATAAGGGATGAGAGACAGAAGGTGGTGGTGTATCAGCAGGTGGAAGATCTGGGGAAGCGCATTGTTGTGACCTAAGGAATTTATGTGTGTATCCAGGAGGGAGTGGAAGGGATAGAGGGGATGACGGGAGGGTTAATGTAAGTGGAGTTGGTGTTGGGAGGGAGTAGGAGGAAAGGGTGTAGGAGGAATATGAGTAGGAGGAGGATGGATATCGGCAGTCATTTGAGTGTGGAGGGAGCGGGAGTTGTGGAATTTGAGGGTGGATGAGAGGTTTTAGTTTCAATTTGGGACTCGAGTAGACAATTTTGGATATCTTCAAGTTTCTGTAAAGGAGTAAGTTGGGGAGTTTTATGAGACAAAGGTTATGAGGAGGAAAGAGGAGACTAGTGTCTGAGGAGTAGAGACAAGGTAGATGGAGGTGGTAGGAGAAGGATGGAACGTTTAGTCTGTGTGCCGCGGGTAATGCGGGGGGTGGGGGCTGCAGTAGAGATTGGAGTGTCTGGATTTAGAATTGCAAAAGAATTTGACTGGGGGAGGTAAGAGGTAGAAGTGGGGTAGTAAGATGTAGGAGGGATAGGTATAGGGGAGGGTGTAGGAACATCTTGGGAGGGAGGGGGAGTGGCAGAGCGAGTTACATTGCTGGAGTAGGTAGTAAGAGAAAAACCTCGCCGTCGTGCTTCCAAATCTGGATCTGAGGGTTGCCACCTCAGACTCAAACTTGTAGGTGGGGCAGCCACTATAAGATACATTGTGGGGGCTGCCACAGTTGGCACATGTGCGTGACTGTGCTGAGCAGTTTCATTGAGCATGACTAGGTTGGGCACATAGAGAGCATTTGGCTATGGAACAGCAGTGTTTGGCTGGATGTCCTAAACGCCACTGGCGGGGATGAGGTTGATATGGTCAGACAGGGAGGGATTCTCCACCGATGTAAACATTAAAGGGAAGGTCATGTCTACATAAAGTAATTTTGGCAATGTTAGTGGGGTTCTTACGATGA